ATGCTTTCTTAAAATGTAATTTCAAAGTACAATCGTTTGCCGATAATTGTATACTGGTGCACTTAAATGTAGTTTAGTGAGCAGTTCTGTAAAGCTTTCTCAAAATGAAATCTCAAATGACAATTGTTTGCCGATAATGTTATAGGGTTGGTTGAGATTATTTTGTCGGAATAACCATCAGTGTTTGAAAAATATTTGAAGGTTCCGACGGTAATGCTAGGATGAGAATCCGTTGAACATATATAGCCAACAGCGTATTTACTTGGTGGAGACATGCAGGGATTGGTTAAAAATATTTTAGTACAGTTTTAAAAAATGTTTTTATTGTGAGTTTGAGTGAGTTATTTTTACGCGGCTTTTGGAATATTTTAGCAATGTCACACGAGAAATGGGCTTTACAGATTATAGGGAATCGGACCCGGGCCTTCGACGTGACGGTGTGAGAAGATGTTGATGAGACTGGTAGATAACTTTTTGTTTTGTTTGTTTGTTGTCTAACGCCGCACTCAGCAATAGTCTAGCTATACGACGGCGGTCTGCAAATAATCGACAAACCAGTGATTGACAACAGGAGCATCGATCCACGCAATAGGGATACAATGACATGCATCAACCAAGTCAGCGAGTCTGACCACCCGATCCCGTTAGTAGGGTCTTACGACAAGCATGGTCACCTCTTATGACAACGATGGTTGCTGAAGTCCTATTCTAACCCAGATCTTTACGGGTTCGTATATCACCAATAACAGGCCAGTTTATAGCCACGTACATGTATGTGTACATGTATATTGCGCTTTGCAGAGTTATTTCCCTTTGACAGGTAGTGGGTTCGAATCCCCGATTCACCTCAAAATCTGTAACCACCATACCTCTGGGATTCACTAAGGACACCGTCTCCATTCCCACTTATTTGTGTAAAGTGGCTGTATGAAATCTGTCGACTCATTGGACCATTTTCTGGATAAATGAGACACACAATCCCATTTACCAGAAATGTGATCATGATTCACAATGAATACGCCGCACTGAGCACTTGAGGCTGAATTAACGTCACGATCATGTTATGGATCTTCCGGCTTTGCTTTGCTTTGCTTTGCTTTGCTTTGCTTAACACCGCACTGAACAATTTAGGCTGATTTAACGTTACGATCATGTATGGATCATCCGGCTTTGCTTTGCTTTTCTTTGCTTTAAGCCGCACTGAGCATTATTCCAGCTATATGACGGCGGTCGATAAATAATCGAGACTGGACCAGACAATTCAGTGATTGACTTCATGATCTAGGCAACGGGAATACGATGAAATGCGTCAGTGTTTACAAATAAACATGACATCGCCCTTGTCTAAAGGCTATCGTGTCCGATATGATCATCGGGGACAAATTACTCGGATAATTGTTATCGTTATCAAAATTTTACAAGTGTGGGCATCACAGTATATACAAAAGAAGCAATGGGGTCTTTTCCCTATTTTAAAATATTTGGATTTGGCCGAAACAAGTCCGACATCTTACTTTGTTTCATTTTGTCGCTTTGTGGGACACCTGACTGCATTTCGTAACGTTATAACAATGTAATATAACCAGTTAGACTCTAAACAAACGTTTATGGATTGCCACGAAATACGATACCACCAAAGTTATTTTGTGCTGAAAAATTACCTTTAAAAAATGTTAATCTTTGTAAATATGGCAGTTAAGCCGGCCACTGTCTGAAACACAAATTTCAGTTGAAACTATACTACTTGTCACTGTCCGACTGACAAATCGCTCAGCTTGTGTGGCGTAATATATTAATGCGCTCATTCAAGGATTATTTGCAATGTTGTGTCGATCTGTATATAATCGAGCCTGGAATAGGCAGACCGGTATTTTCTCTCTAAAAGTATGGTATTCACATATAACTCTCTACGGCATTCACACATAACTCTCTACGCCATTCACACATAGATCTCAACGACATTCACACATAAATGTCTGCGGTGTTCACACATAACTCTCTACGGTATTCACACATAAATGTCTGCGGTGTTCACACATAATTCTCTACGGTATTCACACAAATCTCTCTACGGCATCCACACATAAATGTCTGCGGTGTTCACAAGTAATTCTCTACGGTATTCACACAGAGCTTTCTACGGCATTCACACATAAATGTCTGCGGTGTTCACAAGTTATTCTCTACGGTATTCACACAAAGCTTTCTACGGCATTCACACATAATTGTCTGCGGTATTCACCCTTAACTCTCTACGCCATTCACACATAGATCTCAACGACATTCACACATAACTGTCTGCGGTGTTCACACATAACTCTCTACGGTATTCACACATAATACTCGACGGCATTTACATATAACGGGAGGAAGTAACCGGGTCCTATACATATGCACGGAAAGCCTCAAGCACGGGTATGGTGCTGACAGACAACGAATCAAAGTCGGAGCGCATATCGTCGTTGATAGAATTGAAAGATCGATGAGAGCGTTTATAAACAGCATCAATAAACAACACTTCTAACAGATATTTTCTCGCTTTACATAAAGATTAGCAATCATTTCTCCAGGGCTAAACGATTAGCGTGCTGGCGTGGTAAGTGATAACCGATTTCATGCTGCAGGAGATTACTGCCGAATACCAATCAGTGCATCACATAAGCGTTGCGACTAAATGATACTTGTATCGAGCACACGCAAAGGCAATAACAGCTGTGATCACATCGAAATTTATTGAAAAATGAAAAATGACATTATTATGAAGACATGGTCTATACACAACAAACCACATGTCAGGACAGTCTGGGGTGGCTTGTTCACGTTTTAATATGTATGTAAAAAAGAAAATTTCGCCTCACATATCTTTGTTTGTTTGTTAATTTGTGTGTTTGTTTAACGCCGCACTCAGTAATATTCCAGCTATATGACGAAAAAACGAAATCAAATCCTGAGAAAGCGTATGTAGTCTTTAACCCCAAAATATACCAGTACACTTTCAATCTTAAAGAAACATGAAGGATTTCAAATAGCGTCATACCACTCAAAAATTGTTTCATCGGGATTACTACAATTTAAAGCCTTAGTAAAAGCTTCAAAATATTTATTCACAACATCTGGATGATATTCCTAAAATTGTATCCATCAGGGACAAAACGTATGTCTGATGCAGTTCGCTAGTTGACTTGTGCCATATGTACCCGTCTGCCCAGTAGTCTATCGCCCAGTCCCGAGAGAATAAATTAAAAATGGAGTCCATTTCAAATCGAAAATGATTTAGCAAGCCCTGAAAATAAGGATTGTTCTTGGCTCCATTTGGATTTTAATGTTTTTTATGTTGCGGATATATATTCTAAATAAGATAACTTGATGTCTGGGACGAAATGTCAGTCTAGTTCAGGAGAACAATTGACTTTTGCGTGACGGGTGCCGCTGATGAAGCACCTTTTCCCGAACACCTTTATGTTTGACTCATGAGCTTCACAGATGACAGCTGATAAGTGAGAGCATGACGCCAGTTACGTTTGTCGAGTAGTGTACCTTAGTGCGTATCGCACCTGTAATGATTCACGTAAGTTGACGTCTTGTACAGATACAATCCGATAAGAACTCGTTACAGATCATCAGACACTAGCATTTTACTATTCATTTTCAGGAAGATGAAGTTTAAACTCCACCTATTTTTGATGATTTATATATCACTTCAAATAAAAGCGACAAAACCCTTTCCAATAAAACAATACTTATGTTAACCCTTTTGTTACTTTTTTTCGTTAGTCTAGAACATTCTGGACTGGCAACATTTTATCTGGTCTGGGAAATTTGCAATGGTGCCAGTCCGGTTGTCTGACTGAAAGTTTGGGGAATTTTATACACTGCATGAGTATGTGTTTGTGAATCATTATCAAATATTGATGATACTAGGTGTCGCGGAACAGTGAGTGTATCCTGCCCAACCGATGGCACCCGCATGAGGCAATCTTTGGTTTAAAGGAATCAAGAATTGTTTAGGATGGCTTCCATGCAGCATTTGTTGAGTGAATGCGGTTCCTTAGTAAGATTAGTGTCGTGTGTCGTATCGTCGCCTTAGCGCCAGGGCGATCTTAGTGCCTATACTTTAACATAGACCAAAGACACTGGTAATTCTGAGATCGCTTTGTGGAACGGGACCCTGTATTGAAACACCCCTCAACTGGCAAAGCGTCCTGTTTTCATCTACGCAGACATCTCTATACAGGTGTTCCGTACTTCCCAGCCCCACAGCTGTGACGACATGACATTTTCGTGAAACTGCTTATATATTTGAAAATATTGTTCAGATTTTTAAATATATAGGTACATTTACCCAAATACTTCTGCTTCTTTTTTTTACTATTAATTATATAATCATGATTTAAAAAAATCATTTTCAAGCTGCTATCATTTCACGTATTACGTGTTTTAGAAACATATTAGATTAATGTTGGGCTGCGATTTTTCTTAAACATCTACAATAATAGGTCTGTTCAAAACACATGTAATACTAAAGTCTTAAAAGAAAAAAAGCTTGATATTACACAAACTATTTTGTTGCTTTATATTAAAAAGCATTGGGAATGTCCTGAAACCAACATAAAGTGTAAAGGATTTGCATATCAAAGATGAGTTAAAGGAAATTTAATAGGTCAAATTTCTTAGGAATATGGAAAAGGTTTTGTTGCTTGTGTTTACAATGTGTGACGCCCATTTTTTGTGTCCCCACCATGATATTCTGGAATATTGCTAAAAGCGGTGTAAAACCACTCTCACTCATACTACACGGGGAAATATAACGGGATGTCGTTTAACGCTATGTTGACCTTTTTACAAAATCAAGGACATGGGGAGAAACGATTGGTTTGAATCTCTACATGGTAACAGTATGTACATCCTATATTGAATGTAGAATCATGCAATATTTCACATAGATATATATCACCTACCATTCACCTACTGAATGAAAGCCCACGTTTTTTAGGGTTTACCTGTTGCGTTCCGAGCGCTGCAGATGTCATCGTAGGGTCTTTCCACAGGGACCAGCTGGTAGCTGGAGTTGAGAATCTCCCTGTTCACCTTCTGAAACGCCAGCTTGATGGCGGGGCCTGTCCTCTCGAAGCTGTAAGGGACATCGCTCCCCGAGATCAGCATCACCCCCACTTTGTACTCCGTCACATTCCCCACCCCCCACACGCCATGCCCTAGCACTACACACAACAGGAAACATGCATGCATCGTAAGTTCACACATGTGTCCGTAGTCTTTGAATTTGTTGGTACATTTTGGACCAAGTTTCACACAATATCTGGTTAGTTCAAAGTGCCTCGGGGTGTTGCTCTTTTGTATGTATCCAATGCTAATTTACACCTTAATACGTCCACGATGTCCAAGGCTAAACGTGTGTCTATGTTACACTAGGAAGAAATGTACTTATCTCTCAGATCACTCCACAGATGCCAACGTTGACTTCAGCTGCAATGGAGCTGTGTCAATACTGTTGCGGTTGTCATTGAGCCCATGGCTGACTCTGAGAAACAACACAGGTACACACGAGTAATGTCACAACAGCTTCCCAACGGCAAGTTTTAGTCTCTTGTTTAGCGTCTGACAACTCATCGGCTCAGGTGAGTATGCGCGTTACTAACAGGCGTCGAGGATGGTATTGATTTCTCTCAGTACTCATAGGCGGGTAGATACAGACGCATACCTGTGCTAGATACCTTTAAACGCTTCCTGTAAACGCCTCCCTATTGAATATCATCCCAGTTATTTTCTATTGAATAAGTTGACAATTCGAGTTTGATTCCATAATATAAAAATTTAGATGTGACTAGCGATTTATCAGCATCATTATTAAAAAAAACTCGTCTTGTGGGAACTGGATGTTTAGTCAAATGTGGTATTCTCTTCTCACTGAAAGTGGTGTGGTCTACAGCGTTTGTCCCCAAAAAAGCACGGGTCCGTTTCCCAGCATAATTACAATATAGTCCCATTCTTGGTGTCACTAATTGTAATAGTGTTGTAATACTGCTAAAAGCTGCGAAAAAAACCTCATTCACACTTGTTATAAAACAAATGTGTTTTGGGTTTTTTCATAAAAAATAAATTTCTTCTTCAAAAGAAAATTATTCAATTGTATCTTAAAACTCACCATGTTACAATAAAGTCGGTTAATAATCCATTAAGATAAACGAAAAACACAAAAATAAATACAGCTTAAGAAACATTTTAAACAACGGCAGTTATGTCGCGAATGCAATGCTAATGTGTAACGTTATTCCCATGTTATTACCGACCACAGAAACGTATATCGGCTATAAACCAAGTTTAAGAGTATCAAGTCTACACAAGTAGCGTCCATTGTCCCGTGGTTATTTGACGCATAGTCCACTTGTCATCCCCCCAGGCACCAATCACGACAGAACTGTGTGTAATTACGCGTAATAACGCCCGTGGACGGTGTCGTGGATGACAAGAGTGCATGCTAGATTTCTACAGAGCTCCGATGATGGTCAATTAACTTCGTCAATAAAACGTTTTGTTTTGTTTCCTGTTGTGTGACAGAACTGTGTTCTGGTGACGGGAATATTGGATTTTACGCCTTGTTTGGGATTATGAAACAGGTGGGGTGATTTGGAATTAAAATGGTATCCTGGGTATGATTGAACTGTGTCAGTTAGCTTGAAACCGTGTACATCCGTATTTTGGATTGGAGTGAGTTTGGGTTGTATACCTGATTCTGACGTTTTTTGTTTTTCCAAGTAGGGCAATTTCAGCATAAACACTGATAATGGGACTAATTTATCTGTAGTCTGTGACTATGAATATATACACACTTCCAAACAGAAACTGAATTTCGTGTAAAAAAGCAAGCATGGATATATACAGGACAACAACAGCAACAAGAAATTACAAGATACTACCATGCAGATATATAACATTTTGAAAAAAACTTTAAAACGACAACAACAAAAAACACATGCTGAGACATAAGTAAAAGTGACAAACCCATGTCCATAATCATTATACAAGTGACAAACCCATTTCCATAAGCATTATAAAAGTAACAAACCGATTTCCATAATCATTGCACAAGTGACAACCCCATATCCATAAGCATAATAAAAGTGACAAACCCATTTCCATAATCATTATACAAGTGACAAACCCATTTCCATAAGCATCATAAAAGTAACAAACCGATTTCCATAATCATTGCACAAGTGACAACCCCATATCCATAAGCATAATAAAAGTGACAAACCTATTTCCATAAGCATTATAAAAGTGACTTATTAAAGTGACAAACCCATTTCATAATTATTATAAGAGTGACAAACCCATTTCATAATTATTATAAGAGTGACAAACCTATTTCCATAAACATAATAAAAGTGACAAACTTTTTTTCATAAGCATTATAAAAGTGACAAACCTATTTCCATAAACATAATGAAAGTGACAACCCCATATCCATAAGCATTATAAAAGTTACAAAACCATTTCCATAAGCATTATAAAAGTGACAAACCCATTTCCATAAGCATTATAAAAGTGACAAACCTATTTCCATAAACATAATAAAAGTGACAAAACCATTTCCATAATCATAAGAAATATCAACTAAAAGCAGAACCCTTTGTGCAGTTCCGACTATATCACAAGCATGAGTTTAAAAAACACTTTCAAATAGTGATGATACAAGATGTTTGCGAAAAGGTGAACGTATCCTGTCCCAACCTTGGCACCCGTCTTAAAAATATGCAAAGGTACATATATATTTTTTTACCTGAGAAAAACACGGAAACATAAGGTACAAGTCAAAATAGATAATGAACTAAGGCCTTGAATATTTCAACCCTGATCATACAACTTTTCAGCAAGGGTCATGACGCTCTTTGATATATTCGTTGTACCCAAAAGTTGTTAAATGTAGACGACATAAAGGGGAAAGGGAAAGTTGACTATTGGAAAGATGAAGTCATCCCTCTTGTCGTGCAGTCTTGTGGAGAATAGTTTTATATAATAGTTCTAAATGAAGGACAACAATACATGCATACGTTCAATCACAAGAAGAAGTAAGAATCACGTACAAAGTGAGGGCCGAATATTGAACGCAAGCTCCGACGTTCATACAGTTTGACCCTCACTCTATGAAGGTTCATACTCCAATGAACTCACACAAAGTGAAAAGCAGTTCTTAAGTATCGTTATGTGCATAAGTATATGAAAATGTGGGCGGTTGGTAGCCAAGTGGTTAAAGCGTTCGCTCGTCACGCTGAAGACCCGGGTTCGATTTCCTTCATGGGTGCAATGTGTGAAGCCCATTTCTGGTGTACCCCGCCGTGATATTGCTGGAATATTGCCATACTCACTCATAAACATGTTAATAATGCCCTCATTATTTAATTAATCAACCCATTTGTCATTTATTATCCAATCTGAACAAACACACACAAAAAATCTATATATCCAGTTTAATGTTACAGTAGGCAACTCTAGCATGATACCTATATAGGGTTACATTTATATGTGCATACGCCACACGGGTAGTTTAAGTACCCGCATCAAAGACTTGGAAGCCTGTTCATCATGCCACATGACAAGTAAATAGTAATTTGAAAATATATTTAAACAGCACCAGCCATGAAAAAGACCACACGTAGTATTTGCGAACGTGACAAGAATCTATGAGCCTTGAAATAGTCCAAATATTGTAATACACACATGCGTTACTCGTAATTAGAGACGCCACGGTCAGTTACCCTCATTGTACCACTGTTCTTAATGTACAGACGTGGCATCTGGCAAAGGTCAGCATTGATATAACGCATTACAAGTCATTATGGTAAATGGTGACATGTAGCTGTGTGCGAGAATAGAGTGAGTGAGTGAGTGAGTGAGTGAGCGAGTCACGCCGCTTTTAGCAATATTGCTACCAGATATTTGGTTAAAACCTGAAATGTATATGTTAATCTTAAATAACGCTTGAGTAATATAACAAGTAACGCTTCATTTGAAAGTCTTTGGTTATTGTCGTCATCGTCACTATTACAAATATTATCGTCGCCGTCGTCGCTGTCATCCCTATTATTAATATTATCGTCGCCATCAGTATCACTATGACGATACGATATTTCGTATCGAGATTAGATATCCTTTTCAGACACAGCTACAGAACCAGGTGTATTTTTCTATTTAAAATTATGAGCCTGGTTTGTTTTAAGAAAAACACCTTGCTAGAATGTAATTCTGGGGGCAGGCAATTTCTGACTGACTGCACACTCCAGGGCCCATTTGCACAAAGCGATCTTTGCACTAAGATGATCGTAAGTGCCATTCTTTAACATAGGCTTGCAATAGTCGTAGCGCCAAGATCGCTTTGTGCAAGTGGGGCCAGTGCTATAACAGGGAAGTGTATATATCCAAAGGCAAGAATAACTGTGATCATGTTTTTATTTATCAAACTGAGATTGTAGGTGAGGTGAAATGGGTTGAGACCCGGACCTTTCGCTCTCAGGGCGAACGCTCTACCACTAGACCGAGGAGGCAGTCCTGAGATTGTTAGAAGCACATTGTCAGGTAACTCTTTCTTCACTTTAGATATATAAAGTGTATTTATAGGGAGTCCTTGGGGTCTATTAGAAGCCCCGAAGGCAAAAGCGACAACTCTCCACTTCCGGCGCGTACAGTCGAAACGAGACATGACAGATGAGTGAGTGAGTGAGTGAGAGTGGTTTTACGCCGCTTTTAGCAAAATTCCAGCAATATCACGGTGGGGGACACCAGAAATGGGCTTCACACATTGTACCCATGTCGGGAATCGAACCCGGGTCTTCGGCGTGACGAGCTAACGCTTTAACCACTAGGCTACCCGACCGCCCCACATGATAGATGATGAATATGTGACACTTGTTTATGAATAACAACCACTTTCTGGATGCCTTCATCAGATGACCCGTATTGAGTTAGTTAGTATATATATATACTCTTCAAAATAAAAACGCACAGGAAGTATGTATATACACTGAACCGCAAAGGAATCGTCATATCGTCATCCCAAGTAAAATTGCATGAAAATTTAAATATATGGGTAATTTTTTTCAAAATTTCTAAAATTTAACATATCCTTGTACGGAAAAATGAAATTTGATGTTAAAAAACAAAGCAGATGACAATAAAACAGATCGCCCAAACGCATCACGGCAACAGCCAAGGTAACCCGATGCACGTGAGTTCCGTGCAAATTGAAATGCACATGGGTTCTCCAATTTCTTGCCCTATCAAAATCCACCCAGATCGGATAACATTCATTCGTTATTGAATTGCTACCACATGCCAAGATTGACAAGAAATCAGCGACACCAAGCCCTTGGACGATTGCAAGCTGGACAAACCGCCCGGCAAGTATCCAATGCATTTCAAGTCCACGTAAGGACCATAAACAGGCTCAAGCAACAGTACCAGACCACCAACACTACAGATGACCGATCGCGAGGTGGAATACCAAGGGTCACCACCCGACGTCAGGATCGTCAGATTGTGCGACAGCATCTTCAAGATCGCTTTGTTACTGCTGCGGAAACTGCTCGACAGACCATGGGGACACACCAGGGACA